AAAGAAACTGACTTATAAAGTTATATAATTATACCGCCTTTCCCTATAGGCCCTAGTGCGCACATGAATCTGGTACAAACGTTTTCACTAACGTATATATCAAATGTATATATTATTCCCAAAACAATAGCTGCATTGACACCATTGTCTTAGCTAATCTACGGAATCTACGCCCGCGCCTGCGTTGTGAGGTAAAGAATAATATAAGACTCCTTTTAAGCTTCCACTGGTTAAGAAAAGATGGGACATCTTCATAACCTGTCAGCAAAAGATGGGACATCTTTCTGACACAAGAGTTTTCACTAAAAGTATTCTAGATATTATTCCAAAACCTATAGCGCAAGCTGCACCTCCTTACTCTAACTTAGCGTGATGTAAAGAATAATATAAGACTCCTTTTTAAGCTTCCACTGGTTAAGAAAAGATGGGACATCTTCATAACCTGTCAGCAAAAGATGCGACATCTTTCTGACACAAGAGTTTTCACTAAAAGTATTCTAGATATTATTCCAAAACCTAGCGCTGTCGATGTGGCATACTCCAAATTTGATATTTGATATTTCAACTATACTCTATAGGTACTAGCCTGTCAAATCTGAAAGCCAGGGGTACGGCTCATCTCCGCGTTTACTCATCACTAGCTCGCCCGGGAAATAATCTGGCGATGCCCAGCGTAGTAATGTCTAATCAGAATGATATCAAATTTAGTTAAATGGGCCATTTTAGACTAATTTTCAATTCTTTTGAAAATGCGTACGCAAGTTTAATTTAAACACTTGTATCTCAGTCAATATTTCGTGATATCTCATGTATAACCTATCAAAATTTAAGTTAGCCTTTTATGAATACAGCTACAATTATTTGAGCGACGTATAGCTCTTATAGTTTTTTCGCTATGATAGATCAAACGCCTGAACTTTTTTTGCGCCACCCGGGATATATAAGTAAATAAATGTTATTTGTCTTGTACTTCCTTGTATCAAAATATAGAAATGAGTATATTAAATAACAAATATTGTACAATCAACTCGCGGTTGTGATAGCCCTGCTTGAAAGCCGTGGTTTCTAGCATACTGTATACTAAAGAAATATAATAACTGATTGCGTGCTGCAATACCTATAAGCTATAGCCTTTTGACTATTACCTAACCTTACTGATTGAAAATACTTCGCATTAATCTTTAATCTTTATTCTTTAATAAGCTGCCATAAAAAATATTGCCAGTTTGTTCGATCTTGATCTCCATTCTGAATCCATACACACGATTGTCAAGCAGAATGCACTCTTCTTCAGACCATTTTGGCGCAATTTGAACTTTGCACGGCATTGTCTGCTAATATTATTATGAATTGGTGATGACAACCTGGTTTGTATGTTAGCTCAGTTAGTTATTTGCTACATCATATCTATGGGGTTAAATTTCATGTATGCATAAATTATTTCACTATAAATTCATTATACATGTCACCACTCTTACCACCTCAACTAATAATGCTGTGGTAACTAACACCTTCAAGATAATTCAATTTATAAGCGTGCGGGTCGTCATGATAAATTCTGCCATATGGGGGGGGGGAGGGTATCACTACTCAGATAAGATCAAATGCAAATGCAAAGTGACAGAAAGAATTAGAGCAGTTTGCAGTTGTTTTTGCAAACGAGCACCGTTCAAATTTTGCCATTTGTCCTAGCATATGCAGCCAAATTTTCTGAAAAGTGGATAATGAAAATCTTAAATATTTATAGCGCACAGTAAGTATTAAGTATTGAAGGTCAAACTAATTTTTCTTCTTTAATTATCATAATAGATTTTGAACCTTTTACTGGGTACTTGGAAAGTATCAGTGCCAATGTCTGTCAATTGTCAGGTCCTTAATACCACAAGAGCAATGTTTTGTCTTACAGTGGTTTCCAGTACCACATTGAATTTAGCCCAGAGGAGGCCACAGATCTTGGCTGCCAGTTCTCTTGTGGAAGCTTGTCTTAAAGAAGACAAAGTTCCTACTGCCAGAATCTAAAAGATGTCACCAGAAACAAGGTAGAACTGTAGAGTTTATGTTACCAATCATTTTACTTATGATAAGTTAAGTTAAAACATTTGATAGCATGCTTTAGCATTTCCAGCATGAAGAAGGAGTTCTTGAACCGAGAGACCCATGACCCAAGCAGAAACTGCTAGCAAATGCTGATTTGTTAGAATATAAAATTTATTTATATTAATTTAATGAATGCCTTATATGACACTAACAGTTTTGCTTTCATTTGGCTTTTGGAATCGTCCAAGTTGGATGTATGCTTTAGCACATATTTTGGTCACATTTGCCTGAAATAAAAGACATATATAGTTTAAAAATCTACATATTTATCTATTCAATGCTAAACTATTGTAATGCACTATCGGAAATGAACTAACAGCATGTGAAGATTTTGTCAATTCAAAATCTTTAGTCTCCAGCTGTTTGGTTATTCTAGCCAAAGTCTTTAACATTTCACTCTGTTTCTCTTTTAGCGACTTCATAAGGCCGTTCAGTTCTCGAAGTTAGATAGAAAAACTTTATTTACCCACGCTAACCCTGTCAACCGAAGCTGATTTTCACAGGGGGCATGTAAGAAGAAAATTACAGTAGTAGGAAAGAAATTACAGTAGTATAAACGTAGTTACATGAATAGTTATTTACAAATAGTAGAAATAGTATTAAGTAGTACAACTAGTATAGAAATAGTATAATAGTTACTAACGAATAGTAAAACTATTAGTATATTTATTTAGAAAATGTGAACAGCAATATTTTTTTGAAAGCATGACAGAGATTTGCTTTCCTTATTTTCTTTTGGAATAGAGTTCCATAGCGTAGCACCATCATACATGAAACTATTTTTCATGCTATTGGTGCGTGGATGTGGTAGAGAAAGACCACTTGAAATACTTCGGAGTCTATAATTTGTTATCTCATTTTTATAAGTAAAGACGTTTGTGAGAGATTCGGGGCCTATTCCATTTAGAGTTTTGTACATCATTGTTGCTTTTGCCTTTTTTCTCATGATATCAAGGTGGCTTTCAGCCTAAGGCACATAAAGCAATAGAATGATCTACATCATTGCTCATATTTGAAATAGTTTGAGCAGCTCTGTTTTGGAGATTTTATAATCGTTTAGATTGTATTTCCCCAAATACATCCCAAACTTCAGAACAATAGTCGAAGTAGGGATGCACAATGGCATTGTATATGGAGATAAGTGTACTTCTTTCAGCAATAAATGGTTTGACACGATGTAGAGCTGAGATTCCTGATGTTATTTTTTTGCAAATATTTCTGGTATTAGGCTTCCAAGATAAATGCTGATCAATTGTTGTTTCCAGAGTTCTGGATTTTTAACTTGTTGGATTTGTTTGTTTTCAATTAAAATATTTGGTTGAGAATTTGAAGCATTTGTTATCATTTGTGGAGAGCCAATCAACATAAATTCTGTTTTAGCCACATTCAAGTTAAGTTAATTGGCTATTAACCAGTTCCTAAGATTTTCTAGATCAGAATTTACTGCAATCTCAATATCAGCTATGGAGTAACTAGATGCTGTGAGGTTTGTATCATCAGTGAATAACCGAGGTCTTGTATTTTTAAGACACTCTGGTAAGTCGTTGATGTACAACAAGAACAGCAATGGTCTCAAAATAGAACCTTGTGGTACACCACATTTAATCAAGTGTTCTGATGATGAAGTACTTGTAGCACACAGTACCTCTGCCTCTGGTTCGTCAAAATATAAGTGTAATTCCTTTTTCATATAAAGTTTTATTAGAACATACCTATTTGTATTTATTTTATTTGTATAAATTCTGAGTGTTATTAGAAGAATATTATGCCTATTTTTATTTTTTTATTTTATTTATATCTTTATTTATATCATATATAAACATTCCCGCCGTATGCAAATTTGAGTTTTATGGAGAAAACCTCAGCTACCAACCTACAACAGGATTGGGAATATACAGGCATAGACGTGGAATATATGGGCATAGATTCGGACGAGGATTCCTGCTTTACAGTTACACACATGATATTTCAAGACCAAAGGTAACATAGATTTTCTTAAAAGTCTAAAATGTACATTTTGTCAAAATTTGAGCGAACAACATTGTCCATTGCTGTTGCGAACAGTATTGTTCAATGCTGTTAACAATCCAGATCAGGTTATTCTTTATCTATGCTCAAATGGCCATCGTTATGCAAATAGCTCGCGTTAAAATTTGTTCACGTCTAAAGAGATTACTTGGGCACATACATGCACATTCGAAGAAAAATACCAATACTGGTATATATAGAATACAGCAAATGTCATATGAGAAAGAATTTCGGTGCATGTATGCACCCAAGTGTAAATCTTTTCATCCCATAACATATCAAAGAACATTTAACAAATTATGCAAATTGCAATATCTGTACTTTTTGGACGTGAACAAATTTTGTTATCACAGTCAATTCGCAATACACTAAATGTGCCATTGAAATGCAAAACATTGTTCAAAAGTAAGCTATTTGGACACCAAGTGTAGTTAACTATTTTTAAACCAGGAGCAAACTAGGATGCAAATTCATAATCATGCGAGCTTGGTCATTGTTGCATAATTATTGGATAAATCTTGTGATTCTATCTTTAAAAATTGTACCAAAATTTCATTTGAACAGGCTTTTTAAAATTAAAATTTTATATTTTTCCCCAGAAAAGTTGCAATTTCATGAATGGTAAACGATGCGGGTTTTCTCCATATGTCAACGAACACGCATGTTCAGGGTTTTGTTGATGGAATTTCGACAGAAAATAATTAGAAATAATTTATGTTTCCATCAATAAAACCCTGTACAATTTGTAATATGAAGCGAGATGCCCAAAATTTAATATAATTTACCCTTATCAATGAGTCATACAGGTTATAAACATGTAGAGAAGTGAAAATTTTTTTTAATTATTAAATAGTACTTTTATTTATACATCAATCATTTTAAAAACATTTAAGCACACTTTGTATTATACAAATTATAAAGTTGTATTTGCTAGACTATTGAAACTCTAAGGGACCGGTCATTATTTATGGAAGGTGGGGGAGAGCAAAGGGGAGGGGGAATATGTATAAATAAATAAATTATTAGAAGAGGGGGAGGGCTATTTAAATTTTTGCAAAAAAATGAGTGGGGGGGGGTTGCAATTAAATTTGAAGGAATTTGTTTAATCGCGCAAACTAATTTGCCTATTATACAACAGGCTTAACTTACACGCATTTGAACTGTTCGAATTGTTAAAGTTGATAATTGTTATTGTGTTACATTATCGTCCAATTACCTCCATGGTTAGTTGAATAACTTCGTCGTTTATTTCTTTAAATGTTATCCTGTTGCCAGATAATCCATTGATAGATACTATAGGTATCTCTTCGACTTGTTGTGTTAAAACCAATGATTGATACCCATAAGCAAAAGCTTTTGTTATTTCACAAAAGTGTACCAACAAATTGTCAATATTCTACACGAAACGAAATGTGTAGCTATATAGTGTGGCGGATATGTCATGGATGTTTCCAAAGAGGGTTAAAAGCACCAAATTGTGCACAGTAGCATCTTTTTATGAGTAGAACAACATGCAAAAGTGGGGCCATCGTGAAACTGTTTTTTTAGAGAGTTACGATGCTATTAGCATTATTTGCTATTAAATTCTACTACAACAAAAAATGTGAAATTTTGAATTCAATCGCGACAAATATAACTTGCATCATCAGAAAGCTTGTAAAAAACTACATAAAAGACTTTTAAACAGTTTTTTTATTTTTCAAATGGTTATTGCTGTAAATTAGGCACATATCTCGCTAAAAGTCCCTAATTAATTATTCAATGTTTGAAAATGCGTTTTTAACAGTTTATAATTCGATAACTATTTCAGAAATCAAAAACTGTCTAAACGTCTTATATGCAGTTTTTTATAAGCTTTCTGATGATGCAAGTCATATTTGTTGTAATTGAATACAAAATTTCACATTTTTTGGCTATAATAGAATTCAATAGAAGAAAATCACTAATCACCTGTTTTCAGGAGTTAGCAGCAAAATAGCGATGGTCCCACTTCAAATATCTATCAAGCAAATAAAACTACATCAATTGTAAAAATTTGATGCTTTTAACCCCAATGGGAACTACTGATCAATAATTTTACACATATCCGCCTCACTAATATGTATGCAATAACATTAGAAGGTGTTGCTTTTTAAACTGTACTCCCAAATAATTGACATAACAAAACATAATCATTGTTACCTTCATGTAGAATCCATTTACTTTTCCGTGACAAATCGTTTCGCCCATTTTATAGGTCACTACGTCTTTGACATAAACTGTCAGCCCATCGATGTTTGCTGAAGTAGTATCTTCTATACACCACCTTCTTCCCTGATTTTTGTTTAAAAATATTAATTAACAATTGTTTAAAACAATTGGCGCTATCACATAACTAACCTGATAGAGTTCAGTAATAAAACGATCCATTTTCTCAGGATATCTCACTATCTTACTGGCAACTGACGGTGTTGCCAACTGCAATTTTATGATGTCAGAAGGTGCAATCCAGTAAAAGGGATGTCCATCTCCATAACTCTATACAATGATGATATATGTAATGTTTACAACATTCGCGGCCGTGTTGTATCAGATATACAAACTTGAGCCGAAGGCGAGAGTTTGTATATCTGATACAACACGGCCGCGAATGTTGTAAAAACTTTAAAAATGACTCATCTTATGAGTTCATTGGCGAAGTAATTTTAAAAATAAACGTTGTCTAAGCCGAGAAAATCAAAGTTAAAGTTTATGTAAATCAACATGAATCTGTATCACATATACAGATACGACACGCTTATGATTTTTCTTTGTGTTTTCTTCATGAATTATTAATGAGTTTTTTAATATTAGGCAAATGTTTTGAGAGTCTCTGATCATCTGAATTGAAAACGAGAAGCGAGAAGCTGAAGTCAATAAAGGTGACTTTTTACTTTGAAGAATCACCTTTTTTAATGGTAAACAATCTTCCATTCCATCCACTTTGAAGGACAGAACAGATGACAGAGAGGGTAGCTGCACTCCAAATCGTTCCAACATCATCCAGAGAAATTCTAAATCTGATCTAGACTATAAAAAAGTGAATGCTCTTTTTAGGCTTTGTAATCCAAGTGAGTATTACTATATGTAATGGTTAGAGCATGGTCACGTGTGCTCTATGGGATATAGAGTCCCGAGAATGGGACTGTAGGGGCCTTAGGCCCCGAGTGGCCTTTTAAGTAATTCGAGGGACTCTATATCCCGGAGAGCACAAGTGGCCATGCTCTAACAGTCTTAGAGAATGACTGCATCCACGAAGGAATTGAAGGCATGCAATTAAAGTTAGAATAATGGTCGACGGAAGATTCAAATAGTCTTTGAGTTATTGCTGTTTAAATCATTCTCGTACCCAGAGCCCTTACGCGCGGTGCGACGAGGGGCTCTGGCCAAATCCATATTCCAAACTGGCATCTGATTGGCTAGTTCTAACACCGGACATTGTTTTCTTACCTTTTTTTTCACGGTATCCGGTTGTGGATTTGGCCAGAGCCCCTCGTCGCACCGCACATAAAAAGGGCTCTGGGTACGAAAATGTGTTTAAATGTGAAAATTGGACCAAAATGTCGCAATAAGGAGTGGGTACCAGGTCAAAAACGCGGTTTGGCAGCGCACTCTCGAAAACATTTTGAGATATAAAAAACCTGTCTTATATGTAAATAATTTTTGTAAGCATTCTGATGATGCACATCATTTTTGTTATAATTGAATACAAAATGTCCCCTGTTTGCCCCCTGTTTTTAAAGGCGCGTTTAAACGAGTAAATACGGTAAGTAAATATGATAATTAGGCATATCCCAATGGAACATAGGACTGGGTCTAGTTGATGTTTGGAGGGACAGCAAGTTATAGTGAGCAAGTTAAATATATATTAAAAAATGCCTTATTATAATTGTTGCGTTTCAGGCTGCACAAAAAATTTTGGGAATGTATAAAAACGTCCATATTCGGCATATTGTTTATTTTTTGTCCCTCCCAATCTCGAGCCTTCTGAAGGAACGTGAGGCTCTGGGATAATCCGTTGCCGGAAGCCAGGAATTCTGGCTAAAACAGAACTGCAAATTCCATATCAACGGCCAATTCCATATCAATGGCCAATCTCTGATTCCTCCCTGAAACGGATTATCCATGAGCCTGATGTTACTTCCCGAGGATCGCAAGCTCGGAAAACAAGATTGTGTCCCTCCAAACAAACAACTAGACCCAGTCTTCTGCTCGATTTGGAAATGGCTGATTATAACTTCTATGAAATCCTTATTACCATGGATAATAAAATAAATATTTTATTATCCATGTTGTTACTAACTCTCATCCTCATATGAAATAACGGTTGTGAAATTAATATATGCTGTTTAGCTTTTACCTTGGACCTCATAACACTGTGTGCATAACAATACAACAACAAAAACTTTTCGTTTGGAAAAGGGAAGAAGTCGTTGTTGTCTGGTTCCGTGGCAGCAAATTGTTCTTGCTCGCAACTGAAATCTTCTTCCATCAATCGCCCGTCTTCGTGGTCTGGAATCTCGTCATCAGACGAACTTGTAATATTGGCAGGAAATTCGTCCCATTGCTCTCCATCATTTTCCGCATCATTTTCATTGACTTCTGCTGAGTCCATTAACAGTGCATTTTTTATTGCCAGCAACCTTTGCAAGTGACTGCGCGATAAGAAATGCAGTTGAGCACTCTCTTGTGACTCAACGTTTTTGTTACAGTCATCGCACGTAACGACAGGCACCTCTTCTCCTTTTCATATTTTAGCTAAAAGTAACTTTTTTGCATTATTTTAGACAAGTTTTTGCAGTGAAACATACTTTTACTCGCTATGCTCGTCAGTATTTTTGTTATATTTTTTCTTCAACTCTTTTGAATATCGCAAAATATTTTGCGGTTCTTCAATTGGTGGGAAAATTTGGTTTTATGAACGTTTGCTTCCTTATATGGAAGTCAAGAGTGAAATGCTCAATCCTGATTGGCTGCTATATCCTTTCATTTTTCTTCAATTTTCCCTGCCCAAACCTTTGTGTCTTTTCACTTTGCAAGTCCGAAAACGTTAAGGAAAATGTTTTGCAGACAGACATGTTTCAACACTGCTAACCCATTTGATGACAGTGACGCAGAGACTCAGGATAACGAACCGTAAGTATTTGACATGCATTAACACAGGATGAAAAATTAGATTCGCACTAAATTTACAATAGTTGCAAATATGGTGCGAATTTAGTAAACTGAATTGGCAACCATTGCGAATTCGTCTTTGCACCTAAACAAATTCGCTTCATATTTGCCCATATCTTTGCACACGTGCAAATTTATTATAATATTTGCAACACATTTGCAGACAGGTGCGAATTTAAAGCGAGTATATAAAGATTTCTTTACTTCTACCTTAGGTTTCAAAAAGTAAACTTATCACGAGGAGTGTGAATATCAGTTGAAAGTTTCTGGAACTTTTGGGGAAGAGGATCTTAAAACATTGAATCGTCCTAAAGTACGCGTTTTATAAATGCTACATGATAAACCCGCAAACCGAACATGCAAGAACTCAACTGTTTTGATCCGGTACCATATACAAAAGCAAAGTGAAAAAACGGCTTTGCCAATAAGCTTCGCTATTTACTGGTGATCATATTATTATAACGTTATATAACAAGCGGCAGACATTATAAATATAATATATCATTTGTAAATAGTATAAATTTTTAATTATGAAAGTATTGTACATATGGAAAAATAAAAATTTAGAAGCACACGAATGGTATAAAATCGATCCACTGGTATAAATCACGTTCGTCGCTGACAATTAATCCGGCCAGACTACAATCGATTTGCTCTTGATAATTTCAGAAATATAATGGAACAGCTTGGCAACAGATTGGTATATAGATTCGCATATTGAATTATTAGTAGCAAATGTAGTAATTAATTTGCCTTAACTTTGCAATACTGCAAATTTAGTGCAAATATTACGGTGTTCATTAATTCCTGATTTGTCTTCGTATCGGGTTATAAAGATCAATTAACACATGCATGCATACATATTAATTAGGAAACTGACAAGCAAAGTGATTTGAGTGAGTTAGGCTCAACTTCGCACATAAGACAGCCTGGTAAGCGAGCTGCCCTTGCTATAGCCAGGCATGAAATTTTTAGGGTTTTTTTACGTTTTTATTTTTAGCGTTTATATATGGACAAGCTACCTGGAATGCTGGCGTGTTGATAACTCGCTCGAAATAGGCAAGATTTCGCTTACTGCCTACCAGGATGAAAATTTCTCCATATCACTATTAAACATTGTAACAAGGGATCTGGGCCAGGATGAAATTGTAACTGCATGAAGATGCCGCCGCGAGGAAAAAACTGTCAAAATAAGAAAATTGTCCCAGCAAGCGAAACGAAATGTTCGCATTTAACACATATATAATCCTAAACGGTAAACCTCAATTACTTGCGAAATTTTCTGAACATAGATTGGCATTAAATTGGCACATACATTCGCATATTGAATTACTAATAGCAAATGTCGTAACTAATTTGCCTTAACTTTGCAATACTGCCAATTTAGTGCAAAATTTATAGAATTTATATTACGGTTCATAGACCTTGCCGATTATTCTCTTTTATCCAATGGCCTCGTTTTTATGTCAAATACTTACAACTGTTTTGTGTTTAGTAAGGTTGAAAATTACTTTGTTAATTATTGAGAGTTTATTGAGCCTAAGGCTAAGACCAGCAAGAAACAAATTCGTCTAGGAACCACTGAGTTCAACCCCAGGGTTGAACTTGAACTCAGCCCTGGGTTGAAAATTTTGTCATGTAATCGTTTCAACTCAGGGCTGAAATTATCGCGAGTTATTCGAGCATGCGTGGTGGTGACTATTTATTACAAGAAAACAAAGTAAAGGCTTTTTACTTCCGCGAATCGATGCCACCAGAACGTATAGTATAACGTTTTAACCCCGGAGTTGAAATCGTCCATGTAATCGCAAAAAATTTCAACCCGGTTAGCAGGGCTGAGTTCAACCCCGGGGTTGAAAATGCTCCTTGTAATCGGTCCCTTAATAGCCAAAGTCAGATGAGATTGACAGCTCTGTATGTTGATCTGTATGTTGATTTGTATATTGATCTACGGTTTTTGTTGGCGAAGCTAATAAAACTAAAACAATACCAAATATCAACTTTTGTTCTTTAGTTCTTTTATCGAATCTGGCGGGAAAAGGCGGGAAATTGATTTGGTAAACAAGTTCTCTCAGTTCCTTAGGTTATCGATAAACAATTCCTCAGATTCAGTTAAATTTCCTTAAACATTTCGCATTGTTGGTGAACGAATAGTCTAAATTTAAGGAAAGTTCCTTAAAAGTGAGAACGCTGTTGTTAAATTTTCATCCATCAAAATCACTTGACGTCATTTTTGACTCGAGCCTGAATCGAGTCCTAGCTCGAGTCCTGGCTCGAGTCCTGGCTCGAATCCTGACTCGATATTTAGGTACCCTCTCGCTAGGTATGAAATTTTTAGTAAAAATATCCGTGCGTTAATATATGGACAAGCTAGCTGGAGCGCTGGTCTGTCGATAACTCGCTTGAAAGAGACGAGATTTCGCTTACCGCCTACCGGGATGACAATTTCTCCATATACTAACGAGACAATACAATACAATACTTTAATTTCGCTCTCCCCCAGGGGGGCTTTTCAGGGCCAAATACGATAATTTACAATACAATATAATATATGAATATATTAGTTATACTATGTCTATGGCTATAAAATTAAAGTTTATAAAAGATGTCTTCGTAGTTGACTTTTGAAAATATTTATAGACGTGCTTGTTTTAATGTTCACTGGTAGAGCGTTCCAGAGTGAAACAGCATGGTAATAAAACGATCTTTGGCCAGTGGCACTTTTATAAAAAGGGATGTTCAAGGATTGGGAATTTCTGGTACAGCATCCACTTATACTGCCTCTCTTTACAAATTGCTTTGACAAGTAAACAGGGGCCGTTCCATTCATGCATTTGAACGTCAAGACTGCATCGCGGTAGAAAAGATGGAATTTGACAGGAAGCCAATGCAATTCGTTCAACAATGGGGTGACGTGTCGAATTTTCTTGAGTTTGTAATTATTCGGGCAGCAAAATTCCGTACTACCTGTAGTTTACAAATATTACTTGCAGTAGTGTTCGACCATACAGTTGAACAGTAATACATTTTGCTGAATAACAAACTTTGGATGACTGTAATAAGTAAGTCTCTGCTTAAGGCATGCTTCACCCTGTTAATCTGCCCTAAACTTTACATACATGAAGAGGTCGTCTTAACAACATGCGATCCAAATGAAAGGTGTGGGTCAAAAAGTGGACCAAGGTCTTTAGCTGATGGTACTGGTATCAGTTCCTTACCAAGCAAGGACAACCACTTGGGAATACTCCGGAAGTTAGTGATGCTTTAAAAATTGAAGTAATTGTTGTTAAGATTGCAGGCAGACTGTCTTTGATAACTGCATTGGAATCATATCAATCCCAGGAGACTTATTTGTGGGCATGGAATTTATAATATCATGAACTTGTTTACATTCAACCGTCTGAAAAACGAATTGTTCAGGTTCAGCGTATGTCCGAGGTATAAAAACTGATTTTGTTAGGTCATATTTACATTCATGCTCATCTGCAAGCGACTTGATTTTCTCTATAGTAGTTTGTCCAATAGAAGAAAAGAAAGTGTTAAACTTGTTTGCAACTAAAATATCATCCTTAGTAAACGATCTTTGACATGTTGATTTTTTAGGGATGCATGATCGAATACTCTTCCAAAGACAATGTGTGTTATTTGGATTATTTTTAATCTGTTCGGCAACAAACTAGGACTTATGACTGGGCAAGGCTTGTAACAGCGTGTGTTACGTAGTTGTACAAGTAGGAGTTACTATCGCAAAGAAAGTGCTGCTGCACTCCCAAGGGATCAAAGGCTGCATGCACAATTCACTGAATAAGGTATACATACTGTTTATATGATATTTTCAGTTTTTTTAACCACCATTTGAACTTTCGTGTAGCCTAGTGACTTATGTCAATACATCAAAACCACCCGCCTTCTAATATGTAAACAGCCCCAAAGACGCCTGTTCAGGAAATAGGAAAAGTGTAATTTGAATAGCAAACACCCTTGCACAAGGTCAAAGGTCAGCTAAATACACTACAGCTACTTTCCTGGCATGGGCATTTTTATATGAATACTTTCAATGCTTATAATTTCTTGCTCTTGTAAGTATAATTATAACACTGTCTATGGCAAAGCTAGCCATAGCAACAGGTCATGCTACGCACATTTTTAATTATTGACAGACAAATGATGCAGGTTTATTTGCTCAGCATGAGCAGTTGCCATGGCTAGCTTGCCACTGAATATTTTATAATATCATATATGGAAACACTAAGTCAGTTTTTTCCCCTATTATCGTTTTAACAGCACCTTAGTCAAGGCTACGTATACCTCCAATCTGCTGATGGGGAGACAAATGTATTTGTTGACATTTTTGCTTAATTTTAACACCATTCATTGCAATTTATTAAGATTGTACTCAGTCAGAATTGGAAAACTATATAAAAAAATAAATTGTGAGCATTATCGAAAAATATAGTATATCCTGAAATGAAGAGATACAGCCAGGTGAATATATAGGCAGACTTTATATAAGCCGGTGGGGTCACCTGTGGTGCCCAACCACTCTAGGTTTGCCGTTTGGTAGACCACAAAATTTCCAGTCAGTAATAATATATTGGTCTTTTGGATTTACATAAATGAAAGCCCCGTTTTACACTACGCTCAATTTTTGGTACTGCACGGATAAAATTGGTACCTGTACCACTTTTTGGTTCTTGGACTAACTATTTAGCTAAGCCCTGTTTACACTACGCTCAATTTTTGGTACCGTACCACTTTATGGTTCTTGGACTACCTAAATAGGTAGTCCAAGAACAAAAAAGTGGTATACAGGTACCAATTTTATCTGTGCCGTACCAAAAGTTGAGCGTAGTGTAAACAGGGCTTAACCTTAAGGACGGAATTCGACATCGCCTGCTTCTTTCGATGGTTGTATCTTATTCCTATTAAAAGGATTAAGGTCTAGATCTTATTCCTATTTGAAGGATTAAGGTTAACTTCATTGGGATAAAATGTATTACCAAAAGCTGAAAAGGAGGAACTCAACTTTGTAATCTTTCTTGGCACAATAACAAACTTGTAATCTTTCTTGGCACAATAACATATATTATTATTCCAGTTCGCTGCCTTTAATATACTGCACACTGGTACGTAGCTAGATTAGTAGATATGATTAAAGCATTATTGCTACACATGGTTGGAGACACAGATCATTAGCTGGTTGCTTGGTAATAATGCAAAGTACCTCTGGATCTCCTCTCACGAGGCATTATTGTATTAGACAGACCTTATAATCCGTCTAGTTTCGAGGCGAAGAATATTCTCGCCTCCCAGCCTTCGATGCATTAACTAACTAGCTTAGTTTGGTTTTAACTTGGACAGTTGATAACATTACACCAGCCGATCTGTGCAATGATCATGACAACAGGATAAATGCTTATAATTTCAACATATACCTACCATATAGACTATACTGTGTATACTATACGACTATTAATAAAACAACATTGCTAAATGGTTGTACTTGTTTTAACTATTAGCAATTCCGAAGTTGATGAGTGGACTGGGGACGAGTGTTAAAAAGTGCCCAAATTAAGAAATGAACCAAATCACTAAACAGACCACCTCAAAATTAGTAAGTATACAAAGTTTAAAGATGTTAACATGAATATCGATATCCTTCAAATAATAAGCTTTCAAAAATCGTGATATTTACTATTTATATATTTGATATATAAATGTATTGTAATTTTTGTTTTGTATATTTGCTAATTTTGAGGTGGTTTTTTAGTGATTTGGTTCATTTCTTAATTTGGGCACTTTTTAACACTCGTCCCCAGAACTCTCATCAACTTCGGAATGGCTAATTAACGCTAACTGCCTGGCAAACTGCAAACTTCAAGAATCAATATTTTCGGAAAAACAAACATGCTCTTTAGTGGTATTACTTGTACTTACATGAAGTTTCTAGTGAGGAAAAAGTGAGCGCGCAAAGGGTGATGAATCTTCCCATCACACCGCGCGTGCTCACTTTTATTCAGGAAACTTCGTGTAAGTAATATTTATTTGTAAATACTCAGTTAAAGGGGCTCTGCGGAGGAGACAGTCCTGAAGGTTTAATTATTTCCCCATAATTACGACATGTTTACACACAGACAGATACAAAATCGAGATCTCGACAATACATAATTCGCGCGAAAGACTGGGTCGAGTGGACTGTGGGGAAACCATAGCAAGCCACATTCTCGTACCCAGAGCCCTTCTTAGGTGCGGTCAACGGAGCGCGACGAGGGGCTCTGACAAAATCCATATCAAACTGGCATCTGATTGGCCACAACGAAGGTTATTGTTCTAAGACCGGATATATTCTATATATTACCCTGTTTTTATGGTATCCGGTTATGGATTTTACCACAGCCCCTCTTCGCGCTCCATTGACCGTGCATAAGAAGAGCTCTGGGTACGAGATTGAGCACGCCGCCGTTAACACAGCCGACAACTTTATGACACTTCTGCCCCCCCCTCCCCGTCATGCTACGGATTATATAAGCATCTAGCAATACCTGCTAAATATAAAGATTATGGGCAAAATTATTATTCCAAGCTCGTTGCCATCCCCAGTCCATTTCCTTGTGCCTATTTCCCGTTTTAAAGATACCGCATATTTGCCTTGTAACGTGGTTGAGGACATTAATATTTTCGTTCACAAGTCAGGAGGTAAAAAGCCGAAGCACAATGTATTCAGTTGAGATTGTAAAGAGGAGTTATGTCTAAATTAAACGTTATTATGGTCCGTAAGCCGAGGTTTGGGTATCTGATATAATAGTACCGCTATATCAGCCAGGGTGTTTAATATAATTACATACTGTAAATGCCTTGATAAATCTCCTTACATGTTGCTTTGATTTGGTAGAAAGGCAACGTCAAATATCTACTAACAGTACTGTATCTCTTACCGACCTTTTATTGAAACTACTCCGCCTTTTCATATGATGGTCTCATTGTAAGAAATTTCACTCTGACTTTCTATAACCTATATAAGGGAAAAAGAACCAATTGCGGCAAGCAATACCCCTAATATATATTATTACTGATCAAACTCTTATTTCGCATAGAATGCGAAATAGATTTGAAAGTTCCATATCTTTCCAAGACATAACCATTTTAAACCTTTAAATTTTATTTACACAAAACTTGGGTTTCGTTGGTTTAGTTAGGTTTCGTTGTTTACAAAAACATTTGGCAGAGTGCTCAATGGATATCCAGAGCATAATTAAATAAGTGCAACGATACATATCTAATACAGTACCAACTTAACAATGTCAACAAAGATTAATAAATTTAAACGGTTCGATCAAACATTGCGAATATATAAACAGAACCTCATGACATTTCCTCAACTATAAAAATTCGTAATGCGAATACGACAATAAAAATCAATTGTTCAAAAACTGTTTTTTCTGAAGGTGAACAGTAACGCACTTAAAGAGTCCTGGTCAACCAAAATGCAACCAAATGCGTTGGACGATGTTAGACAGAAAATTTGAGAAAATCCAAACATCTAGCACCTGCCAACATGACCAAACACGAAGTTATTGAACCAACAGCCTTGAACTCGAACGCTTACGTTGGACTGGTTTGAGCAGGTTGTTACTGATACTATAACTCATAAGAAAAAATGCAAGGTTAGTGTATCAATAACACCGGCCTATACTTTTATCCGCGTGTATGTATAAAGTTATATATAACAGTATCAATATATGCATAGCATCGCCCAGCTCAAGTAGATCGAATTCAGTAGAGTTATTAACGAAGCAATATCCTAATATTGAAGATGAACATGCATTTATAACAGAGTTCGTTTTTGCAATGGCATCACAAATAAAACGTTCTCTGAGCCAACTTTATCATAACCACCAATAAACTTTCTGGACATGCGCTGAACAGGCATGAATGAAGCAGAACCAAGACCCTCAAACAAATCTGAACACCAAATTTCAGGTTAACTCCCGTGTTTCCACAATGAAATCTCTCCGGATGATACTGAAACCAGCGAACGTGTGGAAAGCAAAACGAGTATGTTTTATCACCAACAGAAATGGACTGTCGTATAAAACAGTCGATCACGCCGGGTCGTTCGTCCGCAGTTTCCAGATCCACGTTACCATCAAATCTGCCAGCCCACTTTGCCAAGATACACGCAAAACGATTGAGACGCGAAAATCTTGACCAGTACCGTTCTCCCGCAAACTCGACTGATGCGTACTTATCATAAAGAACAGGTATATCATTAGTTGATCGATATCATTAGTTAAAGAACATCTTGTAAACATCACTGAGGTATCGATGCTCGTCATTATCTAGCTGTTCAATTATGTGAGGTGAACCAAGAGAATAACCAGCCAAAGAAAACCATAATTCATTTTGAATGTCAATTCTACCATGACAAATTTGAAGAATATCAATGCACTGTTTGATATCAATTAGGCAATCCTCAGATTGACGACCTTCGTGTTGATGTATTTTCTCCGTAAAATCTTTAAAATGCTGCACATATTTGTCTGGAAATTCAAACTCCCTTAAGTTCTGGTCTCTCAAGAATTTTCTCATCTGTAATTCTATAGATTTGTTATTGGTGGAATAATTTCCCAATATGCCATTATAACGTTCGAAACTGAACAACCAGAAACTATAAACAGGTCCATAGTCAAGAACACAGTCAGCCAAATGAGTGTGCATGTGCATGTTCGGAGTTATGCGTTCGGTTCCATATAGTTTTTCAACATCACAACAAAACGTTACGAGAAGAGAGTGCGCAGAACCTATATCAGATATCTTAATCATCGGTTGTGATAGAAGTTTACAGGTTTTGGCAAAATTTAACCAACATTTGTTAATGGTTGACCGGTAGAAGACTGAACAATGCAAACAGAGAAAACAGTTACCCAGGTTTTCCACTGTTCTGCCATAAATCCGGAAAAGGACTTTGCTATTTTAAACGGAAGACGACCTATATTAGAGGGAACACAGCTTTCGTCAACTTTCTGTTGAACACGTTCCAAGGAACACGTTCCAAGGTTAAAATAGAAAGATCAAGCCATATTTCCATCATGCGTTTAGCAGTCCCCAAAAAGAGATTGTGCATTGGGTCAACAATAGTAAACCTTATACAGTCAAAGTAAGGCAGTCTGAGCAGTTCTGAATGTCTAGCACCATACAAGGACTCTTTTGCATTATGCAGTTCTTGTGTAAATTGCGCTAAAATTTCCTCTACGTGTCTTCTGTGATCTATAATATTTCTCGAAGGACACAAATCAAATCCGGAATAATCCGTCAACTCACTAATACCACCTGTTCGGAATTCTTTGGTACATTTATTGCAACCATGTTTGGAATTATGCGCTGTAAACCCGCAAACCTTCTTGCTGGCGGGCATATCGCAGGCCACACACAACAGAGCAGCTCTAAAACGTTCAGGTAATAAAAGGGAACCGGAATGCCTTAGATTAACTCCTTCCCAAAGTTTAATAAATTCATCCACGAGTGGTGCTAGGAACGAATTAATGTTAATTCGAGGCTCATTTGGGCCAGGAATTATTCCAACAAGAAAAATGTTTTGCCATTTGAAGCGCTCACTCCTCGGAAGATTCATTAGAACCAGATACAACACTCCAACAGAATAAGGTGTGTGGTCAAATGGTTGCATCCAATCAACGTTAAGCATAAATCCATAGTTGCGTGGTGAAGCCAAAAAAGAAGAACCATTAAATGTCTGAAAATCCCTCCAAACTCACCCTCAAATATGTCACGCATAATTTGATGAGCTGTTCGAATGTCCTGGTTCCTCCACAACTCGCAACATGCGGTAAACCCACTCCTCTTAACAAATTGTTCCAATGTTGCAACAATACTCTGGTAGCAATAAATCTTATGAGGGTAGAGCCGAACACTACCATCTTTAGTTGTAACCTCTTTCAACAGTGTAGCACCACATTGTTTACGCATGCGCGCCTATGGTTTGGAAACCGAACAAAGGAACATGTATTTGAAACCTTACGGCCGCCAACTGTTCCAAAGCTGTCTTCAAATGTATACACCGCACAACAGGTCGGGCAAACGACGTACTTAGTGAACTTATCCCCTACCAATCCAATTTGTTTTTGGAACAGGTACAGCGACCGAGGAAAAGCTAAGGCAAACATGGCAAACCAGTTGTTTGAAAAGGATGCTGCTTGAAAGAATCGTTTTAATGATAACAACAAAAATTCCATTGCGTTGTCCGGTATAGGAAAATAAGTCCAGAAAAAAGCAAGTAAGATAACAAGGCAATTGAGTAATGTGCTGTTGGAAGGGTGCTGTGGCGGATCTACATCAACTGATGGAATGTTGCAGTTTTCAGTGGTGTCTTCGTCAATTTCATCACCTAAAACTTCATCCCAAATTTTGTGACCAAGCAGTGGGTAAAGTAAATCATCACTGCTTTCAGATTCACTGTGTCTGTGGCCATGATTGGGTGAACAATAGTCGTGCGAAATTGAGTCGTCGATCTCAGTATAGGAGATTTCGTCATCGCTACTGTTTCCTAAGCTCGGATCCTTTTCCCAGGAATTTGTGTTCAAGTTAAAGAACACTTCTCGGTGCCTTCTAAATGTCCTCGCAGGCAAATATGCCTCACAGTGAGGGCAAAGTGTCATGTAATTGTCGTTTTCAGCCATAGCTTTGAAATTATGTTATGTTGTTATAGAAACAGTGGGTGTTAATGCAACATATAGGGTTAAACAGTGGTAAATGGTGCCATCGGGGGTCACCATATTTGATCAGGTGACATGTATCATCCAATCGAAATGGATTTATTTGGCGCCGAATCACAGAATAAAGATCAGTAACAGAAGGGCAACTCAGCGGTGCAACGTGTCCTTGTTTTTTTAGGCAAAAATATACAGTTTACTGGCCAGAAGGCGGAGCAGCCAGCCAGTACAGCGTGTTTATTGGCCAGAAAATGTCATCGACTGGCTAGGAAAATGGCGGCCAACATGCGTAATGCGACATGCGCGAGGACAGAAACTTCAAAGCTTCCGACGTAAGTTGCCCTTCTATGTGGATCTTTATTCTATGGGCAAATTAAGAGTTCGAGAGGGAAGCTCGAAGGAATTTTTCAAAGCTGTGCTTTTGGGAAGTACTTTTGCAAGATTTTTCACCTTTTAAGCAATTCAAGGCTTCAAAAAGTGTTGGCCTGCAATTAAAAATGGCAGGGAACGTCTCGACTGATGACATGATGAGAAGAATCATGGTCAACCAAAGAAAAATTATGGAGCAAAACCAAAAAATCCTGCAACAACAACATCAAACAAATGAAGAGGAACAAAAGAGAGGGCTACTAATTGTTCGAGATAAAATTCCGCTGAATTTAAAGGTCTGTACTCCAATATATATTCCCACATAACTCGAATGAAATAAGCATCAAAATCACTTATTCAATTATTAAAAATAAGTTTTTGCAAACCTGTCGAACAACACCTAAACATGCATACTGTATAATATACTGATGCGGGCAGGTTCCCCAAGTGTGAAAACACAAAAAGTCAAATAAATGTCACTGGCTTTACTTTTAATTAGTGGGAACTCATAAAAATATCGAAATAAACATACATTGAGTAGCATACGGCATAGTAAATGCACTCAATCTGGGTTAGACCCAGGTTAATGTAAACCATATTTCAGACAAAAATGGGAAGCCATATTTGGGAAATCAACTACAGACAAAACCCCATTGAAACTCACATATTAAAAGTGAACAAAAGTATTGCCACACAGTTTAGCAGTTCTACAACTGTGAAGTCAGCATAGTGTAAATATGCAACTGTGAAGTGCATACTGTAGGTTGCATTGTCTATGCAAAAATTGCAAGAAAATGATACTATAGTTGTAAAATTAATGTTTTGTTGGCCTTTTTTATTTCAATCAGTATTGGAATGTCAGAGTTTTGTCCAAATGAAATAATGAGGGTTTTCCAAATGTTGTGAGATCTGCGTATTCATACAGTATGTATGAAGAACCTGTTATTTATACTGTACATAGATTTTTATTGAAGGAGTTTCATTTCTGCTGTGGACTCAAGAGAGAATGCAGTACAAATGTAATGGTCCAAACAGTATTGACGGGTGATACATTAGGGACGATCCAATAGATTTTGAAGTTGATGTGGGTTCAGGCAACTAGTTTCCCTGTCAATGAATGTATGTATAAGTGTGATGGCAAAGTAAATAAATAAAAAAATTGAGTACTTGGCCCAAACCTGGGGAATAATATCATGCACAGCAAATCCCCCTGAAACAATTAATTATTATCAAACGAATACTGGTTTTACTTCTATTTGTTCAATGTTTTCCAATACTAATTGGCAAATGTTCAAATACCAAATATGGTATAATTTGGTTTGATCAGTCACAAATTTTCCAATAATGTAGACTGCAAGCACGCCCTCCTAGAAGGAAAGAGGAGGGACTGCAGACAACACAGTTCTCTGCACAATGCAAAATTCCGATTGGTTGAAATTGTTGATTGACATGTCAGTTTTTGAAAAAGTAAATTAATTTAAATGTATTGTTATTCAAATTTGAAAGCTAACTGTTGAATCATGTCATATTAATTCAATCTTGTAGTATGTTACCGTAAACCTCCAATTATAAGCCCCCCCCCCCAAATATAAGCCTCCCCCCATGTATAAGCCCACTGGCCACACATACTAATGCTAACCTCATTCCAAATATAAGCATCTCACAAATAGTCAAATACAGTATAAGCCCATCCCCAAATATAAGCCCCCTGAATATAAGCCCCCCAAATGAATATTATAAGCCCAGTAATCGCTGCTTAATTTTAAAACATGTTTTTTTTACTGTTTATGTCTGACTTGTTTATTACTAACACAAAAGATCGTCCATGTATTAGTCCCCTGTATATAAGACCCCTTGTATATGCCCATCAAAAATCGCTTACAAAAGTATATAAGCCCAGGGCTTATAGTCGGAGGTTTAAGGTATTTCAAGGGAACACAATTTAATGCTATTTGTAAAATGTAACGTCATCATTTCACTGCACATGTAAATCTGAAGGTTTACTGTTAAAACAATACAATAAATGCTATATAAATAAATACTTGTTTACAACGCCAAAATAATTATATAATTTATTTTGGAGCTAAGGTGAGTGCGAAAAGTGGGCGTATTTCATTTCTTGATATGTTGTCTGCAGTCCCGCCTTTCCTTCTAAGGAGGAAATGCTCACAGTCTACCAATAATGCTGAACACGAATCAATAATAATGATACAATAAACTATATATAACCTGGCCCGGCAATCGGAATTTTTGCTGTCAGCAAAGTTACAAGCTGCAATTATTGTACGATTTGGATTCTGCAGCATGAAAGTTACTCCAAATGCAAAAATGTTAAAATATCCAACCATATACACAGTATGTGTTTTTATTCAATTACAGTACATATGCTAGAATACAAATTGTACATGATAAATTGCAGTGTGTAAACATATTTTTAGGATTATACTCAACCAGTACTCTATACTTATCAATGCATTTATTTAATAGCGTATAGTAAGGGCTGCAGTAAAGGGTTTGGACCAAGGTTGGGACTTTTCTCAGAGGTACAGTAACCATTTATGAACTTTTGGAAAGTAACTCACAATTGACATGGATGTGCAAAATATTCAGGTTAATTAAATGAGACAATAGATAGCAGTACTTTGGTACTGACTTGAAAAACTGGTACAGATGTTTGTTTTGCAATTTTCATCAATGTCTGCATGTTTGCTCCTAATTTCATGTTTGCTCCTAATTTCATGTTTGCAAGCAACATATTAGCAATAAAAAATGTTTACCAACGTTTCGATCTGACCTCTGAAGTTTTACTTTAATTTAAACCAAAAAAATATGAAAAATACCCTAACATAAATATTTTGCCTACATGTGCAGTAATACATCTAAAACAATCAAATACACATGTTTAACAATTTCTCTTTAAAAAAGTTTTAGATCTCAGTCCAATCATGATGTGAACAAAGTTTTAGTAAATAATATAAAGGGATTAGCTGGCATGGAGAAGACATCCCATCGTTTAATTGAAAGTAAGTCGCAAAATATTGGTCTTAATTCTTAGTTTTGAAATAACTTGTATGTTTTTACAGGGACAATCATTTTGACAGCTAAAATTTATTGTGAAATTTGATTATAAAAGCTGGTTTTACACTAACTAAAGGGTACACTAACACATCAGTTGGCATATATTACACCACCACAATTTAACTCTGTTCATTGCCAGGGGAATTTACTTATCATTAAAGGGAATTGTGGGTGCCAATTAAGGTTAATATATGGTTATACTGTAACCTCTCTGTTTTACTGCATCAATTGTTTTACATGGATGCATTGCTCTAAAGTAATTGATTTTAATTTATTAATTTAACAGTATTTGATAAATGGTAATATATAGGCATACATGCCTTACAGCAGCTGACACTTTAATTGTTCAGCCCCCATTGCATTTTTCCAAAACATTTCTCAGTCCCAGTCAGACCTTTACAAAGGTAACAGTGGAGTGGAAACTGATTAACCCTTTAAGTATCATTGCACCCCGATACACCCTAACGTATTATTTTTCTTGGTCTAATGCCAGACAATTTTACTTGCCAACGGGAAAGTGCTGCCACTCAAGTGCTGCCACTCACTGGGTTAATCGGACTACCATATATGCAAATGCATCTTGTTTTGAACGGAACCCTTTTTGTTTTGAACCCTGAGGTGGCCCACACTATATTTTATTATTATACTCTGTCAATGCCAAACAATTTTACTTGTCAAGTGGAGAGTGGAAATCAATGTGTCTGTCTAAGTAATGTACCATAATGAATGTACCAGGTATCTTATTTATGTAGATAAGTTTAATGGAAAATAACTGATCGAGTATCATACGATAAATCTTTATTTTAAATTCACTACTGTGTGTATCCCCTTGTACAGTGTCAAGGCAGATTTCCATTCAGTGGAAAAAGCGCGATCAACTTTTTGCGATTACTTTCTTTTCAAATGCGTGCAGTCAACCTCATCCGTAGCGCTTGATTGCTTGTATTTGAAAAGAAAGTGGTCGCAAAAAGTCGATCGCGCGACTTTTTCCACTGAATGGAAATCCGCCTTCAGGGCCAACACAGTGGGGGAGGGGGGAGGGGGGGGGGCACTGCAACCGCACCCTACAGCTGTATTTGTTATTCACAGACAATTTTAAATATATCAAGGGAAGGTCTATAGGCAAAAGCTTACAAATCTACTAGAAAATACATGCATGCAGAAACCCTCGCCTTGCTGACAAAACCATTTTATTTTCCGAACGTGAAGTATTTTTAGTTGTCATGGTAACACGATAATTTTTAAGAATACTTTTACAAATGAAAAATCCCCTATAAATATCACTTTTAATTACAAAATTATCAATTTCCTAAACATATATATGTTAGGTATGTTATTAATACGTAATATAAGCTTGAATTTAAGGTAAAATTCAACCACAAACGCTTCGCAAAACGTTTTAAAATGTTCTTTTACTATAGAACTAAACTGCCTTTATCGATAAACTTTGAGTTCGAAATAAAATGATTCCAAATTCTCCCATGCAAATAACTTTGCTTAGTATAATAAAAAGTGTAATCAATAAAGAAACACTGAAATAATACGCTGTCTTGTTTCATATTTATACACAACGATCGGCTTTTAAAGTAATTACGTACAGTAGGCATGTTATTATACATAATAATATAAGCTTGAATTTAAGGTAAAATTCAACCACAAACGCTTCGCAAAACGTTTTAAAATGTTCTTTTACTATAGAACTAAACTGCCTTTATCGATAAACTTTGAGTTCGAAATAAAATGATTCCAAATTCTCCCATGTAAATAACTTTGCTTAGTATAATAAAAAGTGTAATCAATAAAGAAACACTGAAATAATACGCTGTCTTGTTTCATATTTTATATACGCAACGATCGACTTTTAAAGTAATTACAGCCGAGATTACAGTATATTAAAAGCAAACAATGCATCAATATTTAAAACAAACTTACCTTCGTTAACGTCGGCACCTTTACTTCCTTCTTTTAGCAATCCTCTTGCCTTTATTTAATCAAAAATCCTTTGCAATTTACAAAATCTTGCAAAAATGAAATATATTTGCAAGAAATCATCAATTCAATTCAAAATTTTATTAACACTGTTTCATATCATTACATTTTTTTTTAGAAAGTGTACAGGAAGAAAAATAAAGTATATTGTAGGAGTTAAAGATAATTAAATATATGAAATTTCAAACCAAAAAAGTAGTAGTGAATAGATTAGAATGATGAGTAGTGAAGTGATGAGTGATGAATAGTGAGTAGATTTGAATTTTTTGAATTTTGAATTGAGAAATCATCAAATCAATTTAGCTGTCGTCAATCGTCATGCAGCCGTTATAATGCCAAATTTAAATTGGACCAATCAGTGTTGGCTATTCATTACAGTCCGCTATATTATGAGATCAGTGAGGATGACCACCCACAGAAACACGGACAGTGACCCACGCCCGCGATATTTCATGAACTTTAGACTTTGCTAATGCTTCCCTTCCCCGGGTGTAAATAGCCGGGGGGAATTAGTACCCTCGCACGGCGCTTAGCGCCATCGGCTCGGGGACAAAAGAGTGATAGTCAATATTGCCAGTTACAAAGCAGTTCAGTCTAATTAATAATTTAGTTGCTCACAACACGCATGTGACTTTTAGTCTATTTATGGCATGCTTAATTTATAAAAGAATTTCAATAAAAATAACTGTAGCATGATACTATATAACATGAACCAAAATATAAAACAAATAAGATCAAAATGTTCTTCAGTAACTTCGTTTTCAATATTGTTTTTAAATGTGTTCAACCTGGCTAGTGAGTATCTGGCGCCATCAATTCATTCAATTGACTATACCTCTCTGTCTGTGCACATAGATTCGAGATTGCAACATTGAACATTGAAAAACAGCGAGCGACTTATCTTTTAGCACAAGACTTCGTCAGAACCAACCATCACTATTCAAAGCACTAAAACAAGCTTTTCCTGGGTAAACACTTAAAACAGACAGCCAACACAACTTGTCAAGGTTAAAATTCAAAATGAAAGTACAAAACATAATCAAATGCGCAAGCACTTCAAGCGACTGCCACAAGGTTAATCATTATTTTCCCGAAACACGAGAGGTCACAAATTAGTATGATTCTTAATGATTGATACAATCATGTTATCTACCGTCGCTTGCACCAAGGATGAACAGTTGTAGATAAAAACATTGCCTAATCGCAGTTTGTCAAGGGCACTTGAGTTGACAGGTTTTAATCTCATCAGCCAAACACGTTTACAGTAAGTGTTTAATTAACTAGCTCCAAGCTAATTGAAACCGTTAAATGATCATCACAATGTTTTTACCAAGGAACTTCAATGTTTGTACTTTGTCATGAGAATATAAGAACATTTTTATCTGCGACCGTTCACCCTTAGCTGCAAGTGAAGGTATTAACTATGATCGTATATTTTCACTTCAGACTCCGTTGATCTAGTAATTCAAAGGTCACAGGTTCAAATACACACTCTAGAACATTTTCAACTTATCATACAATACCGTAATTCGTAAACCTCCGACTATAAACTCTGGGCTTATATACTTTCGTAAGCGATTTTTGATGGGCTTATACAAGGGGGGGCTTATATATGGGGGGCTAGTAACCAACTTTCCAAAAAGGAGTAAACAAATATAAACATAACATTAAGGGGCTGATTAAGGCGGATTTCCATTCAGTGGGAAAAGTCGCGCGATCGACTTTTTGCAATCACTTTCTTTTCAAATGCGTCCAGTCAACCTCATCCGTTGCGCCCCCCCTTCGGGAATTTGGCCCCCTCGAAAACATAGTTTACTTTATCGCTATAAGCTCGGAAATCGTGAAGCTTCTTCTAAAACCAAGATCCTAAAAGTGTTTGTCAGTATTTATAGTTGGTTTGCATAACTTATTTGTGTTGAAATTCTTCATTGCGGCCAAGAACTAAAAGTTTGAAGGAAAGCGTAATAATAATAACGTGCTAGTGCAGTCATGCCAGACACATCACACTAGCCTGATAACAGACCTACTTTTCACCCGCCCTAAAATTCACAGGTCGAGGGAAAGGGCAAAACGTAGGTCTGATGAAAATGTTGTCAAAAGTGAATTTGCATTTTGTATTTTGTAATAATTAACGATAATGATTGACACATTTATTGTAACACCTAAAAATACAATGAAAGTTGTCGATTTCATTTTGTCGAAAATGTGTGTCAACAAAGTCGATAAGTACAGATGTTTGAATAAATATTTAAAATATTGGTAACCCCATGCACTCCGTTGCTTTTATATACTCGACTAAATTGTATTGCACTGACACACATATTGATATATTTGTATCATTGTATGACTTGTATCAGTTTTATTATGATTATTCACAAAAAGTAGCTCATTTTAATAGAATTATTGTATTGTATATAACAGGTGGGAAATTTGTCTGAGCATGCGCGAGTAAAATGAGCCACGCAGTTGCGTGGAATACACGCAACGCGTGTTTACAAAAAGGCACAATCGTGTAAATATTGCCAAATGTTTGTACAAAATAAATGACTGTTTTATGTTGAAAGAGTAGACATGATCTAAATTAATCATACAGAATTTTTTAGTGACGATCTATTTCAGTACCCTGCCATTGTCTCTGGTGGGCTGTCCGTGTGCATTCGATCTGAAACAGTTGCTACTTTGCTGTCGAAGAATTTCGAATGTTTACATGAAAATAGAGGCAAGTCATGCATTTTACAACCTCTTAAACTGTATGAGCCCCTATTTTTATGCTTATACCTAAGATATCAAATAAAAGTACATGAAACAGAGAACATTTGTAGAAAGTTTTATCGTGAGGCCACGGCCAGTTTTTAAAATATCTTTATTTCTGTTCCGGTCATCACCAAAATTACACAAAAGCCGGGCTTGAATATACAACAAATTTTGAATCTCATCAAGCACAAAAATACTTAACGTGTAACCAAAATATGCTCATGAAATCGAAATTAATAGCTAAATTTTCAAACTAGACCCTTCTCGAAGCGATTTTCATGAATGAAATTCACATTTCGGCCTTTGATTCTTGGCAAAAATTTGACCACAACACGTGCGAAGCAACTGGGTCTCAAAGACTGAACTAAAACATTGTGAGCCCCTATTTTCCTGACGATATGTTTGATACCTACAAACGCCGAAAAGTTTTTTCTTTTCATTTAGCTATATTTGAAATTGAGGCCACGATCTATTTTTGAGAAACTACAGTTCAAAGTCAAGCTATTTTTACATATTTTCAAATTTTGTCAAATTTCGCGAGCTTGTATTTTGAACTTAGACAGCCGAAGTTACATTACGAAACATAGGATGGAAAATTTGAGGCATATAAAGTTAATTTCAACTTACATTTCATTCTCAAATCACGTCTTTCTTCGTTTATTACGGTTTTAAACAAGTCATAGATCGACGTATACGGTATTTACTCCCATGTTCACGTCGCCATATTAACTTCTTCCAATCACTCGATTACAAAACAATCATCCCAAAACAAAGAATTCATGATCGACTTTTAAAAGAATAACCAATAATTTGCAAATCGTTGAATGGAAAGCAAAAAATCGTCAGCTAAAACAGCTTCTTGCTAACTTTCTGCTTTGTTTTGAATGTAAATGCAATGAGCTTTGTTTCTGCCCGCAATTTTTTGGTCAGCGACGACAAATTTCCCACCTGTTATTGTATATTAAAAAACTCATTAATAATTCATGAGAAAACAGAAAGAAAAATCATAAGCGTGTCGTATCTGTATATGTGATACAGATTCATGTTGATGTACATAAACTTTAACTTTGATTTTCTCGGCTTAGACAACGTTTATTTTTAAAATTACTTCGCCAATGAACTCATAAGATGAGTCGTTTTTTAAGTCATTTACAACATTCGCGTCTGTGTTGTATCGGATATAAACTCTCGCCTTCGGCTCGAGTTTGTATATCCGATACAACACAGCCGCTCATGTTGTAAATAGTACTTACAACGGAAAAACACAACGCTGAAGTATTTCTCGCTCAGTTATTTTCCGACATTTCTCGCTCGGTTATTTTCCAAGCGAGAAATGAGGAAATTACGTCTGAGTTCGCAGACCACACTCTACTCCCCTCTAGTTTTGGTTTTTAGATGGTAGATACTCACTGATAAACTAGTTGTCACTCGACCTCACAAAATACTTAGAATATTGCTCTGTATGCATATTGTATATTTATATGGGTTGATTTACCATTGAAATATATTCTGATTTTTCAGTCTTTTCAAATCTTTTCATGTTAGCGACCAACCAATCACAACCAATTTCACTGTGAATTAGCCAATCAACATTTTCATCAGACCTACATTTCGCCCTTTCCCTCGACCCACAAGTGGAAACGTTTGTTCGAAAAACAAAATCAAACGAGTGGTTATTTCGTAAAAAAAACTTTTCCTATGCATTTTACTTACATATACACAGTATATATAAATAATCACTCATATGATTGGGATGCATTACAGAAGCATTTACTTGTAAAAACGGAAGTAGACTGTATGCTTCATGGCTCACAAAAACATTTCGCACACAGAAAAGCACATAGGTTTGAATGACTAACAAAACATTCCGCAAACACAAAAGCACAAGGTTTGGATGACTCACAAAAACATTCCGCAAACACGCAAAAAAACAAAGGTTACATCCAGCTACATCAAAACCGTCAGTGTTGTAAGCAATTCTCTTGGCCTAATTCTCGTCAGTATTGCAATTCAGTGAAGAATTTTGTTTTGACACAACAAAATTATGCAAACTAACTATAAATGTTGAGAAAAATCTTAGAAATTTGGTTGTAGTAGAAGCTTCACGATTTCAGAGCTAAAAGATAAAGTAAACTGTAATATTTTAGAGGGGGGCAACTTTCCGAAGAGGGGGCCAAATTTCCTAGGAAATTTGACCCGGGGGGGG